CTTTGGCCCGACACAGAGTACTAGTACGGGGACAACACTGATTGCCATATCACTCGTGGCGTGTTGCTTTCGTGCCGCGGTCGTTACTTCCGGCGCCGCTCGAGCAAGAAGCTTTCTAAATCCCCTCGCGGCGTGTTGCTATCGCGCGGTTGTTACCTCCGGTCCCGAGCGAAAATTTTCTAAGTTGACCCAATACATCCCCAGTACTGAGCCGACTTTCGACCGTAGATTAATATCATTTCTGGCCATATACACGGTCAGTACTGAGACGAGACTCGCCTCGGAACAAAATATTGGGAAACAATGCTCCCCGCATCGACTTCGTCGTACGTGCCCCTTTCGTGTACGTATTCCACAAACGTTTTACACATTCGTACGGACCAAGCGAAACGCATTTGCACGTCTGTACGTATCGCTCGTGTCGCTCGGCTCGCCGAGCGCACCGAACCTCTTATAGTACCCAACCGGCCGGCCAAGCGATCGGCGACGCACGGTCTTACGCACGGTCGCTTACGGGCGCCGGAGGCGAAACGCGAAGCGAGACGAATGATACCATAATTCGGGGTACTTGTAACCGTGAGGCACGAACGCGGTCGTTACCTCCGGCGTGGGCTCTAGCGAAAAGTCCCCTCGCGGCGTGTTGCTTCCGCGCCGCGGTCGTTACCTCCGGCGCTGCTCGAGCAAAAAGCTTTCTAAGTCCCCTTGCGGCGTGTTGCTTTCGCGCGGTTGTTACCTCCGGTCCCAAGCGAAAATTTTCTAAGTTGACCCAATACATCCCCAGTACTGAGCCGACTTTCGGCCGCAGATCAATATCATTTCTGGCCTTATACACGGTCAATCCTGAGACGAGACTCGCCTCGGAACAGAATATGGTTGCATGGGAGTACTGGTCACCGAGACTGGCACAATACTAATCTAGCGGTTTATTCGTACTGGGGCAGTGCCACCCATCAAGTCTTGGCAGCCAATATTGTGCCACTTCTGGGCCATGCGGACAACTCTGGCAGAAGTCCGACATTCGCACATGGGAAGTCACAGAGCATCGCAATCCAGCTTTTCTGCAACAGCAATTTGCTTTGCAGCCTTTTGTGCATTTGCAGATCTTCTTCAGAATATCCTGCGGAGCGGCTTTCTTCATTGAAGGAACTGGAAATAAACCTTTTTTGTATATTTCCAGCCCCAATCTTGAGAATTTTTTTTAACTCCGCGCCACTGCTGAATCTGATGGTAGACTCTGAGGGAGTGTTGGCGTGCAGCTGCTTCAGTAGGTGGTATAGATTTGGCGAAGCATGAAAATCGAAACTCATCCAGAAAACTATTGCTCTTTGCTCCGTATAAAGCAAGAATACATTTTTGTCCTGCTATATATGTCAATGAAATCTGGATGAGCATTTGGATCTCCAAAAATTTTTGAAATATTCTGCCAATTTTCATTTTTTTGGAACAATTTATTAATTTTATTTTACCCTACCTGAAAAATGTTGAAATAGTATCACAACCAGTGAATGCGTAAAGAAACAGAATATGCTCAGCAATATCAAGATATTGGAAAGAAGTAGATAAATAAATCTGCTCTGTTTTTCCCTTGCTCGGTTTCATGAAATAGATGTTAGATTTAGATGATAAAGCTAAGAGTGTCAGTAACACTAAAAGATCAATATCTTCGCCAACTATTACTACGGAATCGTAATTCTTCGATGCATCAATCGCAGTAGACAATAAAAGTGTCAGCATCTTCAATAGCTTGCTTGATTATTATTAATCCTGCAGTTTACAGTTTTTTACCCAACATTGAGATAAGTCTATCCTTATTTTTTTCATTTGATAGAAATTTTTCTTGGGGCATGGTAACTATCATAAATTCATAAATTCATAAATTCATTGAAAAGTACGCTCGCAAAAACATAATCGTCATAACTATATCTTTTAATTTATTTAAAATCTTGGATGCTCCTAGCTTTTAACAAGGAGTGTACTTATAGCGCTATCGAGTAAATAATACAAAGCCAGATGTGTAAAACAATAACGGTTCACAATAACAACGCCATTTACCTGAAAAGTGAGATACGGCGAGATAGAGTTGCTATAAAACCGTTTGTTACAAAAAGTATCCTACTCCTCCCGGCTTTAACGCCAAAACTATTGGTCGTAGAAAAAAAACCTATATACTTCCTTTTTTGTAAAAAATTTAATTCCCTGCAATATTGTATTAAACTATTTTAGCCTAAGTCTAATGGAGACTTTCCGAGATATTCGCGAAAAACCGATTTTTTACCCTTTTTTCCAAGATGGCGGCCGAAGCACACCACAGGGGAGGTCGGAAACTTAGTATATCATTACTGACACCCAAACAAAAAAATTAAAATTTTTTACAGCTTTGTCCTAATTAGTCGATTTATTTGTCATGTTTAACGACGTGCCGACTGGACTATTGAGCGAATACAGCGATCTGTATCTAAAGACCAATGTCTTGTTATTGGCCGACGTTTTTGAAAATTTTCGCGACAGTTGTATCGCGAGTTACGGACTTGATCCCGCGTACTACTATACTTTGCCAGGTTTTACATGGGACGCCAGGTTGAAGCATACTCGCGTAAATTTCGAACTGCTCACCGACATTGATATGATTATGTTCATCGAACGCGATATACGCGGTGGCCTGAGTCAATGTTCCGGCAGATACGCGCGGGCTAATAACAAGTACATGCAATCTTACGATCCATCAAAACCATCGTCGTACCTGATGTATTTTGATGTAAACAACTTGTACCGCTGGGCGATGTGTCAATCATTGCCCTACGCAGATTTTCAATGAACCGAGGACGTTTCGAATTTCGAGTTTAGCGCGATCGCTTCGGATTCGACCACGGGTTATATTCTCGAGGTCAATCTAAAGTATCCACAGAATATACACGACGCGCACGCTGACCTACCTACTTCTGTCCGACGCGCGATAAACCGCCCGGCAAACGGCACGACAAACTTCTCGCCACGCTGTACGATAAGAAGCGTTACGTCATACACTACCGCAACCTACAGCAATGCACGCGCCGCGGCCTTCGCGTCACAAAGATACATCGCGTGTTGCAATTCGCTCAATCTACGTGGCTCCGCGATTACATCGAACTCAATATACGAAATTTAGAACACTGACAAAAAATGAGTTTGAGAAAAATTTATATGAATTGATGAATAACGCGGTTTTCGGTAAAACTATGGAGAACGTTCGAAATCACGTTGATGTAAAATTATTAACAAAGTGGAACGGTAGATACAGCGCGGAGGCACTGATCTCGAAACCAAATTTTCACAGCAAGAGCATTTTTTCGGAAAATCTGATAGCCGTCGAACTGCGAAAACTCGAGGTTAAATTTGACAAACCTATTTACGTCGGCATGTGCATTCTCGACGTATCAAAAGTCTGTTTGTACAAATTTCATCACGAGTACATGTCTCCCCTGTATGGCGACATGTGTAGAATTATGTACACCGATACGGACAGTCTGATATATCACGTAGAGTGCGAGGATGTGTTTGAGAACGTGAAACGGGATATCGCTAGATTCGACACGAGCGATTATGCGATCGACAACGCGTACGGCATATCGCTCGTGAATAAGAAGCTGCCGGGCTTGATGAAGGACGAGAATAACGGCACGATTATGACCGAATTCGTTTCTACTCAGGGCGAAGATGTATGCGTTGAGGGTGGATGGTAAAAAAGACTGTAAAAAAGCCAAAGATGTCAAGAGCAACGTCGTAGCGCGTACTATAACGTTCGACGATTACACGAGATGTCTGAAAGATGAGATAGAAATGACCCGACCGCAGTCCTGTATACGATCGAAGTCGCACGAGGTGTACATCGTGTCCGAAACAAAATCCGCTCTGAGTCCGTACGACGATAAGCGATACATTATACCAGATTCAACCGATACGTTACCGTGGGGACATTATGGAATATCTTTGTAACGTATATATTGTATCTATAAAATGTAATAGTATAACGTATGTAGTAGTATATGTATGTAACGTAATGTATAATGTAGTAGTACTATAACGTATAAATGTGTGTAGTATAACGTAACGTATTGTGTGTATTATATATTACAGTATTGGAAATAATATTAATAAAGATATTGTACATATGTATATTTCATATTTTTTACGTACTTTATGTGTATTTCAAACAACTTTATATGTATTCATATTGCATATTTTTTATGTTAAGAATAAAATACAGTTTGCACGAATTAAATATTTAACTTCAATCTTCGGGCTCAGGCTCCTCACAGAACTTCTTATAGGGCTGGAGCCCGAAGAGACGTGTTAGGCAGAACATGTATTCGATATGATATATTTCCGTGATGTCTCGACTCTCCGGCGTGTCGTACCATAAATGGTCGACATATCTTCTCGTCGCCACCGCTTCTCCTGATGTTGTACCAACCATTGTAAGTTTTTATTGATGTAGCCTTCCACTACTATATCGAATAAAATGATATTCTGAAAAAAAAAATTATTAAAAAATTGTATATACTTTAAAAAAAAAATTATATATGCTGTTAATAATGAATATACTAACCTCCAGCGGGCAAAAGACCAGGGATGTCTCCCCGTGTAATTCCATCTCTGGATGATGTATCGGGTCGATATGTAATCGTCCCGTGCCCGGGACGTCTATCACCCACTGAAAAAAAAATCAATTTATAAAAAAATTTTTTTTTTTTTAATTATACACACACACACACACACACATACAATCACGTACCTCCGGAATGAAGTGTATGTACACCCCTGGAAGAGGAAAATCCCCTTCGCGCACGACATCAAGCTGTAACAAATTAATAAATAAATTATTTAATAAATTATTTAATAAAATCGTATAACTTAAATGTAATCTGAATTCACCTCCATGTGTACGGGCACCTCGAACGTTGATCCGTTAAAGAAGTATCTCATTTTCGAAGATGCTCGCTCGTATAGAGTAAATTGAAATTCTACTTGCATTTGTACGTTCGGGCGAGAACGATCATCCGACGCACCGTGTGCGACGGGCTGAACTGCGAGACGCTCAAGCTCGTCTACGTAAAGGGCGCTGAAAAGAAAGGATAACTGGAGGAGATTCTCGGCGACGCCGTCGGTGAATTCAACACTAAAATCGAGTCGATGGACGTCGAATACGAGGACATCGGTCGACTGGAGACCCTCAATGCGATCCGATTTTTCCTCTGCGGGCGCCACGCGAAGAACTGCGCCATGGAGAACGTGTGCAAGTTGCACGATTGGTGGACGGAACGTCGCGCGCATCTCGACACTCTGTAACGCTGTGTTTTTCGAGAAATTTTTCATGTATCTCCCTTCATTTTATCGTACTATAGAAAGAACGATTTGATTTATTTAATAAAACAATTTTAATATTAATGAATGAATAACATATATATATATATATATTTCAATCTGCATACAATGGTAATTCGTAGTTTTCACTGATATGATCGAATCTTTTTAACACCTCCTCAAAATCCAATCACTTGCCGATACACTCTCGACATGTGTTGGCCGGTTTAATCACACACAATATATTTCTACATTCCACGCATTATATATTTTTTAGACATCTCTAATCCGTACAACTCGTTCATAATCGCGTGCCAGGACCGCTTAAATACGTAACCTGGAAATCGACGATTACGACGAAACGGATAGCACGCCTCGCATAATCGCTCTAGCGGGTGCACTCTCCATATGTAGAACGGCCGAATTTCGATTACACAATGATAACGGTTCAACTTATAATATGGGCTATAATCTTCATCGTGGATTTCGGGGAAGACCCCGTTAGCCTCCAGCGGTTTTACTGGTGGTCTTATAGTTTCTGTAAAAGTATACTTTTTTAGATTTTTTTAAATCTTTAAATTTGTAAAAATAAAATAAATTATTACTATAATATTTCTCTCTTACCTTTGTCAATAGAAAGTTTTCACTTGACTGCACCATGAGGCTATGATAAAGACACCGCGACGGTTAAATCGTCAACGACGCTCGCCCTTTGCGGCTCTCTTTCACCCGGATTGGTTCTCGGAAATCTCGGGGCGAGCGGGAAAAATTGCCGCAAAGTCGCGAAGGCGCGAGAGAGGAAGAACCCGCAAGCGCGTACGACGGCGTAACGCCTTCCAAGGGTGTACATGCACTTCATTCCGGAGTGATGTGTATATGTGTGTGTGTGTGTATGTGTGCGTGCGTGCGCGCGTGCGTTTTTTTAATAATATTTTTTGTTCAATTTTTACAGCATGATTTGAACGAGAGGTACCTTGATGAAAAGATGGACGAATATATAAATTTCGTTAAATTTGCGGTTGAGAGAGAAAGAGAGAGAGAGAGAGAGAGAGACACGGAGAACCCAGCCAAAATTTTTCATGTATCTCCCTCACGTACGTTTCGGCATGTTGACGGTGAGTTTTTTAAATACTAATATTTTATTTAAAAAAATATTATTATATGTAATAATGCTAAATAATTCATATTTATTATATATATTTTTTATAGATATTCCGGTATTTCGATGAAGAACCCGCCACACTCTCGCCAAAGGTATGTGTGTGTGTGTGTAATTAAAAAAAAATAATTTTTTATAAATCGATTTTTTTTTAGTGGGTGATAGACGTCCCGGGCACGAGACGATTACATACACGATCCAAAGATGCAATTACACAGGGAAGGAGCGAGCGGTTATGTCGGACTCTTACCGACTAAAACCCCACCGGGTGTCCACCTCTGTGCTTGTTGGGAAGGTGGCGGGAACTAACTATCTCCTTCCGCCACTCCTTCCCGCGCGTGCGCCTCGTGCCCCTCCCGTCGGAGAAGAGCACCATTCCCCGCCAGTTTGGCAGAGGCTGCACTTTAATCGTGGCTGAGATGGGACACCACCACATCAGCCACCCACCTGTGTGGGGGAGGTAAAGTCGACCCACTGGGATTCTTCGCCCGCGGGTCGACCATCCTCCGCGCCCCTCCGTACCCTGGCCCACGATGTACTTACTACGGGCCGGCGTAGGGAGATGTACTTACTACGGGCGCATTTACTTCTGAGGCGCGCGCCCGGAGACTGCCACCACCCGGGACTCGCGCGTTGGGCATTGTGGCAGGTGGTCGTTGCTGCCACCTTCCACTAACCCGGACCGAATTGCTATTCCTTGAGAGAGGGGAGAACCCCCGCAGCAGCAATGTGTGGTGGTGCTTCCGTTTCCAGAGAGCGGGCCTGTATAGGCCCACAGCAAACCACCACACTTGCCGCGGAAAGTCATCATCCCCCTCCCCCCGGGCCATTAACCAACTTTTGGTCGAGCGGGCGCTGGAGGGCGTCTTCCGCGGGCTCCCCCCCCTCCTGGGGGCTCGTCCGTGCGGTCTAAGAAAGACGCCCTGGTCCGGCGGCTGGTTGGGATCAAGGCGTTCCCCGCGTCTGATCCTTTCCGCCTCATCCTTCCGGGCCATGAGATTTGCAATTTCTTCATATCTCTTCTTCTTTATGAAGCGCACAACGCACTTTGTTTCTTCCTCATCATCGTTGAAAGTGAAAGCCGTCGCAGGTGCCCAAGGAACTGCGCGGATCACTTCCCCCTGCGGCCGGCGGCGAGCTTTGAAGATGTTATTGCAGTCCACTAGTAAACTCGGGTCTGTGGGTTTGTTAAGATTGCGCGGCGAATCAATCCTCCCTGCGGGTACGGGGAGACATCCCTGGTCTTTTGCCCTATGAGGTTAGTATATTCATTATTAATAGTGTTGCGCTCGCCCACGCGTTCGCCGCACTCACACTCGCGCACACACACTCGCGAACACAATGCGCAATCCCGTTTCCGGGAATAAGAACTCTCAGTTGGAAGAGAACTCGTTTAATAGGCAAATGTAATAATATGCAATGGCTCGCGAACACGTCAGATCGGCACGAAGGGCTGGCGGAGAATCTGAATGACGACTGTTTACAAACGCAACGACGGAGCTCGTCGTCAGGCACGACGTCAGGCAGCGCTTCGCGACTGCCTTCCGGGCTTTCACCGGGCGTCTCGGCTCGGGCGCAACACTGCCCCCCTCTTCTTAGATTGTTGCCCCGACAATCTTCTAAAAGGCAGCGCCCAGACGAACACAGGGACCAAGCTACCTCGGTCACCTCCCCGCGATTGGCCTCCAGGGAAAGCTGGCCAAACTCCCCCAAGCCGACTCCTGGAAGGGCCGTCCACCCCGTTTCATCCTCGAGCTCCGGTCCTCCGAATTGACGTCCTCTTCTTCGACGGCCGCCCCATCGCTCTCCCACGAAGTCTTCGGACAAAAAGAAGGACTTCCCGTGAACCCTGCGCCCCGCAGAGCTCCCCAAGTCTCCGCCCGGCAATTGCCCTACGGCCCACGGGAAAACCACGGGTCAAAAACCGTGGGCATGCGATCCTCTTCAGGCTGGAACGCTTCTGGAAGTCAATGTTCTACCGCAGGTCAACCGACGTTTGAAGACCTCCTTTTGCGTACCACCGTCCTACTCTAAAACAAACAGACAACGCACAGAAACACAAAACAAAATAACTGATAAAAGTTAAAGAAATCAAACACATTTTTTATTTTATTCAAAGTTGAGCCCACTCCGTCAAGCTCAACTAAACCGCGTTTCCCTCATTGGGGCATTCCGATCGGAAATGCCCAGTTTTACCGCACGTCCAACACTCCTCCCGGCCGGCGTCAAAAATTTTATTAAAATTTTCTCTATTTTTTTCAGGATCATCCCCTTGGATAATTCTTAACGTTTTGGCCCTTTCGACGGCCACATTCAGGGAGGTTATTCCCTCCATCTAAAGCGCTCGCCTGATAAAGTTAACCGAAACAGCCGTAATAAACTGCGCGCAAGCGATTTTATCGCGCAACTCAAACGGGCACTTGGGGTACGCTAGGTGCGAGAGTCTATCGATTTCAGAACCAAGTGCGGCCAGATCCTCCCCGAATTTTTGTTTATGATTCGTAAACGCAATGTAACTGTTTTGGGATTGACGTCCCTCCCCGAAACGCAACTCAAGCTTCGTTTATAGTTCCGCGAAATCGTCCGCTCGACGTCCTGCACGGTCTCTAAAACCGAGCGCGCTTTTCCCCTCAGGCTCAAAGCCAATGCGATTGTTTTCGTTGCGTCGTCCCAATGATTCGCACGCGCGATTAAATTTAATTGCGAAAAATATTCCTGCAACGAAACCGTCTTGTCGTACGTGTCAGGCTTTAGTTTATACCCTAGCTCGGCACTCGCGACCGGAACACTTTCACTCGCGTGTGCGACTCGCGCTCCCGCGCCACCCGAGATCGCGACTCTTTCACTCGCGTGCGCGACTCGCGCTTCCGCGCCGCTCGAGATCGTGACTCTTTCACTCGCGTGCGCGACTCGCGTTTCCACGTCGTTAGAGATTGCGTCTTTTTCACTCGCGTGCGCGACTTGTGTTTCCGCGCCGCTCGCAACAGCGTCCCCCTCGCGTGTGACCCGCGCCCCCGCAGCGCTTGCGACTCGCGTCCCCGAGTCTCCGGACGCTCCATTAACAGAAAGACTTAGCTCTGTGACGCCGGAGATTGTCCCTCGGAGTCGGCGGAGCTCTCTTTCTCTCCGTGTCTGTTCCTCACGCAGGAGTCGGACCTCCTGAATCACGGTCTGGAGGGTCGCCGAAATCGTTGACATCGCCGTTTCTTCTGGTTAGGAAGTCTCCACCCGAAACCTCTTTCACGAGGAAGGAACCGAAGAAGCCATCATGTCCTCAGGATTCTTGAGGACGAGCCCCCAAAATGTTTCGTTCGCCGCGCGTTCGCTGCACACACACTCACGCACACACTCGCGAACGCGGCGCGCAATCCCGTTTCCGGGAATAAAAACTCTCAGTTGGAAAAGAACTCGTTTAATGCAGAAATGCAGTAATATACAAGCTCGTAAAACACGTCAGATTGGC